TGTGTGTGAGTGCCTGCCTCTGTGTGTGTGTGTGTTGGGGGTGGGTCAGGTGAGCAGGGCGTGGAGGCGGACGTAGTCACTGTCACCTCGGTCAACTAATTCCATTTACTTTTCCACTGTTGTGTTGTCGTGACCACATGTACGCAAGCTGACAGACTACATGGCCATTTGTAACCTCCGCAGTGGTGCACACCTGCTGTCCCCATTAGGGATGAGGGGGTAGCTGACCTCTCTGGTATGTCCGAGTATTTATACTGTCGTTCAAAGAGCGCTCATGGACAAACTTTGCATTAATTTCAATTAGCGCTCGCATTCTGTTCACTCGACAAATCATGTAGATGCGCTTTTGGGTGACATTTTAAATTTGTGTTTAAAAAAAAAGAAGCGCAGTAACGTCGCTAATTAATCGACAATAACTGGAGGTGTGTTCTTTGGAGTCATCTTTTCAAGATTCACTCGACAAAATTTGACGATACTTATTGTCTTGCCATGCCATCAAGGCCAACAGATATCCAATATAAACATACTTATAGCGGTCTATTTCCCAACTCATGTTAATTTCTGACGTAATAACAGCTCGTATTATTGATAACGAAACTAAGAGCTAATGTTATGTTGATGGTTGATTTCAAGAAAACTATGTTAAGCAACAAAAACGTTCTTCAAGAAAGGCCCAAACCCATGTAGGCTGAAAAGTTATGTATACCCCCATTCTTGTCAAAGAAAATAGGAAGATTTTATTATTTTCCTATCAAACTTCAATTGTCCTGTCTCCCCTTCTTGTGTGCGTTTGTTACTCTCTTGTAACACCTCGGAGCTTATTTTCGGCACTTTTATTCATGACTTTATTCTGCCTCGAGTGCCATAAAACTCCTACTAAAACTAAAAAGCTACAATCTGTCTGATTTATAGGCTACGAGAAAAGGGCATAGTGCGACAAACGGATAGCCATCGTGTCATGTGTATTTACCATTAATGAACAAGTCAATTTCTGAATGACCATTGAATGATAGAAGGTGTCTTGAACTTTATCAATGAAATGACAAGAGGATTCTAACTCTGCAAAAAACGTGCTTCTCATAAAGCCGGATATGTGATTGTATTGTATGATTGAGAGCCGATGAAGCTTGATATCGGTATCTTTTTGTAATCGTATACCCTCTTTTTTTCTTCGTATCTCACAAACTATTTAGAAATCAGTTATCATCCTTAACGGCAACATGGAATAAAAAAGCAAAGTGTAAATAAATCAATCAGCATTTTGTATAGGTTTACAAGGGAATTAAGTACCATGGAGCTCCACATTACTCTTTGACTTTGAAGCGCAGATATCGTCTTCGTGAACGTTCCTATCTTTATCTTATCTAAATTAAGACAGTACTTTAACCCTTCGTTATCAGTGATAATATTGCGATGGCAGCTTCCCGTCACTTTGTCCTGTGCTATGTACCTGCCTTATATAGGCGGCAGTTTTATACAACGGAGAAGTTTATTAAAGGAAAAATCTGTGTTGCTTGCTTTTCGATTTTTAGTTCGTTGACTAGTGTTTATGTATGATTTATAAGTCGTCTACATCTATCCCCGTCCACC